TTTTTTTTTTTTTTTTTTTTTTTTTTTTTTTTTTTTTTTTTATTTTTAAAAAAAAAAAAAAAAAAAAAAAAAAAAAAAAAAATGGTGGGGGGGTGGAACCAGAAAGAGAAATACATGAAAAAAAGCAGTGTAAAACCAACCAACTCAACAAAAAGCAAAACAAACCACCACAGTCAGGGGAAACTATCTCTCTATATACATATTAATCAAATGTCAAACCAGTTTCTAAATCAACCTTAAAAATGGTTATCTAACATTACAATATATAAAATCTATGCCAAAGAAGAACGTATTGAGTCACTTTGTGATTAGTAGATAAAAATGACTTTTCAATAATAATAATAATAAGTTACATATCTCTTAAATCCAATACTTAATATCAGGAATATTACTATTTTTCCAATTTTTCAAAATAATTCCCATAGCAATACCCAAGGACCATAACTAATCAAAAATAGATTCCAAAGTTTTATGATATGATCTAACATGTCAACATCTTTAACATTAAAATTTTCCCCATGAATTTACTTATGTACATTATTTCAAAAAGATGTCAATTACTTAAAGTTACTCTTCAGTGTAAGAAAAGAGTACCCCATTGTGTACCCCATTGTTTGTTTTGAGTATTTGGCTAGATCATGCTGCCTAGTGATGATAGTCCCAAAAAAGTGCCTGGGGTCTAAAGTTCTAGTAGGGAAACAAAGCAAAAAACAAAAACAAAACTCAAACCAATATAATAAATTATTTTTAACTTGCAGAAGTCAGCCATTATAAGAAAATAAATGGCATGATTAGTTTATATGTGCAGAATACTGTAAATGAAAATATGCCACAAACTTATTCCTTTATAGTATACCTTTCTTTTCAATTCCTTGTATACTTGGGAATGCTAACTTAACCAAGGAAAAACTGCTAAAAAAAGAAAAAAATGCATATTTTATGGAAAATTGCCTACAGAAAGGCATACATCAGTGGGAATAATGTATAAAATAAGAGAAAATATGTATAAAAATGCACACCAACTTTGATGCACAAAAAATGTTTATGCAAGCATTCCCATGCATAAAAAAATAAAAATGCAAGTTGTTATAGGAAAAGGTGGAATAAACTCATACTTGAAAAAAATGTCAGTGTTACAAAAGCAATCCAGGCAGGTTCCTGCATCCCTAGGAGGAACCTATTGTCATTGTAATTTCCTGTCTAATTCGTTTCCAATATTCTGAACTGAGAAGTCACCTTCACTGTCTTTGTACTTTCAATTCACAAGCTTGAAAATAGGAACACTTCATGTTTGATAGATTATATTTCAATATAATGAGTATATAACCGTGAGTAAAGGGAATGCATCACCTTACCTGTCATATTGCAGTATACAAGAAATGGCCCTAGGGGGCCACTCCCATCTGAATCGATGTAGTAAAAAGCTGAAGTGTTCCCTCTGTGCTTATAAGCTTCACATGATTGCTCATATATAGCTGCAAAAGAACATCTCCCATTACAAACGTAAGAGTATCATTTTGAATTTTATTTGAGGGAACAACCAATTGTGAAGAGGGAGGCTGAAATCTTCAACATACATTCAACACTCAAGAAAATAAGGAGAAAATAATGCAATAAAAGTTGTATCAACATTTGGCATCAGTAAACAATATTTATACCTATCAAAAGAATATAACTGGGTAGGTGTTTCTCTTTACTTTCTGAACAATAGCATTCAGATAAGAAATTGCAGGAGTTAGTGGCCAGCAACTCAATCATAGAATACCAAATCAAAGATACAATTGTAAAGAAAAAAACTGGTAGGGAGTGCTAACACTGTCAGTTGCCTGTGTCATAAAGATTTATCCACATATAAAATGTTAAATATTAAAAATGTTGGGCAAGAATATGGGAGGGATTATATGATTTGTATTGCTGAAGAACTGGAGTTTGAGAAATCATATTATTAATTCTGCCAAAATCATATCATACATATAGCTCTGATTAACAATAAGGAGGGAGGGAGGGAGAGAGGGAGAGAGAGAGAGAGAGAGAGAGAGAGAGAGAGAGAGAACATTCTGTGATGACAGAAACAGTGAAACCAGGGCTTCCCTGATAGTAGGGGCCACTGGAAAAGGAATTCCCCACAAGGCTTCAGAAGCTCCAGAGCAGAGTCCTTTCAATTATACTTTCAATTCCATGCATTAATCCAAAGACAGTCTTGTCAATTTCAGAGCTGTGTATTGCTTGCTAGATGGGGAATTCTGGGAGTTGAAGTCTACACATCTTAACGTTGTTAAGGTTGAGAAACATTGGTCTAGATTAAACTGTTTGGGGGAAAAAAGGAAGTGCTGCTAAAGCTGAGTTTCTCCCATGCAGCCAAAAGAAGATGAACTGCAGAGCAGACACCAAGCCCAGGGCCTGGATGGTAGGAGGCAGTCCCCAGCAGACTTGTTGGGCCAATTGCAGGCAAACACATCACCGCCTCTACCTGCCTCACCTCATACATCCTCCTCCTCAGTGTGCCTTGCCTTGTCCAGATGAGAAGTTGTCTTCTATTTTCCTAGAAAAAGCATGAATTCCATGCCAAAACACCCTAGATTGCCTTCCTGCTGCCTCAGCAGCAGGCCGCCTGAAAAATGAAGGCTCTGTTGTGAGGACATGCTTGCAGCAAACAGAAGAAGGCTGTGTGGATAAGCTGCTTGCAATATAACTTGGAATACTGCAGAGTGTACAGGTAGTCCTTGGGTTATGACCATTTGCTTAGCAACCATTCAAAGTTATGACGATACTGAACAAGGTGAATTTAGGATGACTCCTTGGAATTCCAGCCATTGCAGAGTCCCTGTGGTCATGTGATCAGAATTTCTGATGTTCCCTGCCAGCTTCCCACAAGCAAAGTCAATGGGGAAGCTGGTAGGAAGTTGGAAGTTGCAATCAATTGAGGTCCTTGCTTAATGACCCATGTGGTCCTTGTTTATTGATGGCAACAGGGACTGCCAGAATTGCCATCGCTAAGCAATATGATCATGTGATGTTGCACTTTATGACCATGTTGCTTAGCAACAGAGTTCCCAGTCCCAATTGCCATTGTAACCCGAAGACTACCTGTAAATGCTTCACTTTTTTATAGGGTTGAATGCCGAGAATCTTGCAAGTACAACATGCAGCTCTGAAATTAACAGGGAAATGGTTTGTACATAGAGAATGCTGATTGCATAAATTAGAATAGTACTACAGGCAGTCCTTGACTTATGACCATTTGTTTAACAACTGTTCAAAGTTACAACAGTGCTGAAAAAAATGACTTATGACCAATCCTTGCACTTATGACCATTGCAGCATCCCGAGGTCATGTGATTGCTATTTGCGATGTTCCTAGCAAATCCTAGCTTTGTTGACAAGCAAAGTCAATGGGGGAAGCTGGATACATTTAATGACCATGGTGATTCACTTAACGACCATGGCAAAGAAGGTTTAAAAATCAGGCATGACTCACTTAACAACCACATCACTTAGTGATGGAAGTTCCAGTCTCAGTTGTGGTCGTAAGCTGAAGACTACCTGTATGCAATTTTTAAAAATGGGAGACTATGCATTCCATAAACAAATAACACTGTGCTCTAAAATTCAATGTTTAAATTATTAACAAGTATTTTAACACTTACAATAATGACATGTAGCCCCCGTGTAACCTGTGTTTGCACAGTTGCAATAAAAACTGTTCCAGGACTGTGAGCATTCACCACCATGTTCACAATAATTGGGCAGACATCTACAAAGTCAAAATAAATATTAAAGTACTTAGAATAACATTAAGGTACAGTATAGATTTTATTGCACCTATTTATTGGTACCATGAGTTGTGGGTAATCATTTCACCAATATATTAAGGTAATTAGAAAGTAATTAGAGAGAAATATATAAAAAAAGGATTCAGTATGAATTCAAGTATTCGTGAACTGAGTGCAAACTAGAACACCCACACCCTGGAGAGAGTCATATTGTATTCTTCTGATCTTATATGACTCATCAATAATGTTGTTTCTTAGCAAATGGTATCTTAATTTACTATCAAACCAACCACCATCCTTTATCCTACCCAATAAAAAAGATAGAGACTTCTTCAAGTTGAGCTCAACTCCCAGAGGCTTCATGAACTCCTACACCTATATATGTAGTTTTCTTGGCAGCAACATGGCAGGGGTATCCTACTGCTGCCTTGTGAGATTTTTATTTTAACTTTCTAGTCTAGCGTACAACCATAAAGTTTCTTGGTAGTCTTACATCTGATCCAACTTAGCTGTCTAAAATATGTCATATATAAATTGTGGTTGCCAACTGACCACAAGCATATGTTTTATTGGAAGCATAAAAAATATACAATTAAAAGATCTTTTTAAAAAATCTGAAATACTATTTTATATTCATTTTATTTGCTAGGCCCTTAGAATGGGTGGACATAAAATAAAGTAGATGTAATGGTATGTGGGAATGACCTTGGGAGACGGGGGAAGAGATGGGGGCAGCAGCCTAGGGAAAGATCAGATAAGAGGGGACATAGCCTGCAGCTGCATAAGCTGTATAGAGTCCCCCATCAGGGGGAGATGGGCAGAGATAAATCTAATAAATAAATAAATAAATAAATAAAATAAAATAAAATAAATAGATAGATAGATAGATAGATAGATAGATAGATAGATAGATAG